ATAACATGTCATTATTCACTTTAGTTGGTTTAAACTTCTTGACCTGATTTCTGCGTTACTTTCTGTGTCTCCCCCCACTAACACTCCCTCTTAACCCACGTAACTATTTAAACACACCTCCCCATACAAATTCATGCAACTATGAAAACTTGTGTTGTGACTTAAACACACATCTATAGATCAGATATTAAAAAACACCCTAGATGTGTTGCAGAGCAAATACAAACACACACAAACCTCTATAACTAACAAAAATTGGCCCAAGAAACTTTCCGACATAAAATACACATTACCACACCTTCTGCCCTTAGTACAGCAACAATGATGTCACCAAAAAAGACTTGACCCCAATCACACCTCCAGTCACCTGATCAGTCTGATCTTTTGGAAAGAAACAAACTGTAGTTCTGAATTTAAAACCAACCATTGAGCTTAGCCAATCACGATCAGTCTTCGTCTCCTATAAGAGTTGGGTGCGTCCGTAAAGGCACACGATACATACTGCAGAGCTGCAGAGATGATGCCCTTTTGTGCTTTTCTTGCACTTCTATATAAAATCTGTGAGTATTTTTCACTTTTTTCACAGTTTCTTTTTTCAAGGATGTAAATTCTAAAAAGAGACTGATAAGATGTTAAAGATATAATTAAAATAATTGTATGCATTTCTGTCCAGGTCAGGTGCTAGCTGCTCACAAGACCTCAAGTGTAATTCAGGAGAGTGGAATCAAGATAGCTAAAGTCGGGGAGAATGTAACAATAACATGCATTTGTCAAGATGATGCTGTAACTTTCCTTTCTTGGTACCAGCAAAGCCTGGGTGGCAAACCTAACATCATATCAACTCGGATGAAGCACAACCCAGAAGCTGATATCTATGCACAGTATAAAGACAGGTTTAAAGTCCTTGTAGAAGGTAAAAAAGAATATCTCAAAATCACAAACCTCAGCCTGTCAGATTCAGGGACGTATTACTGTGGGGTTTTAGTCTTTAACGCTATTGAATTTGGACAAGGACTTTTCCTTCATGTCAAATCACCAGCGACCAGCATCGGATCTGCAATAGACCAGCCAACGTTGAAGCCGCTTCGCTTGGGGGACTCTTTGAACTTGACCTGTACAGTGGAAGCTGAACCATGTGCAGGGGAGCTGAACCTTTACTGGTTCAGGCATGGAGCGTCTCAGTCTGCAGTCATGTATCCCAGCGAGGGACACGTGTGTGCAGACATCTCACAGGAAACACCTCACAGGAGAAATTGCACTTTAAATCTTGCAATAAAGTCAGTGAGCTCCGCTGATGCTGGGATCTACTACTGTGCTTTGGCCTCCTGTGGAGAGATTATTTTTGGAAATGGAACAAAGGTTGAGATTGCAGGTAGGTGATACTGCAGGAGGGTGACTTCATACTACGGTTTCAAGCAATCTGTGAAACACTGACTGTGTAACATCTGTTTTGTGTGTGTGTTAGGTTCCCCTGTCTTAGTTTATCTCCTGAGCGCGGCATTAGGAGGTTCCTTTATTGTGCTCTTTGTCTTGGCTTTCATCATGTACAAGCTTAGGAAAAACCTCTGCTCTGTCTGCAAAGGTGAGGTCTCTGCCATCTCTAATGACAACAATCCTCTAACTATCTGACCAGCATGCTTATTTATTTTCTTTGATTTGCAGGAGCTGTTCCTCATCAAACCTGTACAGTCTCAGATGCAGTGGTAGGTGAAAAAGCCTATAGAATCTGCTCACATGTTTTTAATAGAAGCAGAAGCTATATTTATATTAGATATGATATGTTTCCAGTTATATTTTAACACAATCCTCCCATTTGTCTGTCACTAACAGAGCCAAGATGCAGACAGCCTCCACTATGCAGCTCTGAGTCTGAAGAGGAGTAGTAAACAACATCGTCAAGAAGAAAATGTGGATAATATTTGTGTGTACTCTAGAGTAAAGAGCAGAAAAGTGTGAATGGATGCAAAGATACTCACTGCCAAATGTAAAATCATGTAAAATAAAATATATTTTGTGTGTACCAGCTGGATGACTAATAACTATTGTGAGCTCAGCATTGTTATACATAGACTATCAAACTGAACCCAAATGTAGTGTAGAGAAGCATAAAAATCCCCCATGATCTATTAATATCTTCGTAAATGCAGGTCACAGCTACAGTAAGTTCTCACTGTTTACCTTTCACTTCTGTGGTCAAGGTGATGTGAGCGACAGAGTGTAAGTTTCCACTGGTGGAAACATAAGTCCTACGAGAGCTTAAACACAGGAAGACCGGGCTGTTGCCCCCTGGCCACATAACCTCTCATGTTTGCAAGCCCACTCTCACAAGACGTGCTGTGTACGTGAAAAACTAAAAGCAATCGGCAATAAACTACGATTATGAAAAAAAGATCGAAGGAGATGGATTTCTTTTACATACCTTCAGCTTCAACTGTGTGAATGCATCTCTTGCTCCACAGGAAGTTGCTTCTTTGTAAAAACAGCAGTCATCCATCCTGAACAGTTTCAGTTCCCTAAAAGTACAAAAAGCTTCACTTTTTAGGAAAGTCATTATAGTTTAAAGTTATCTGCTGCTTAGTTGTTTTTGTAAAATACATAAAATATTAAAAAAATAAAACCCAGAGCCAAAGCTGTGGCCCTGCATTATTTGCAATGAACTGAGCATCCATTCATTAAAACAAAACAAAAACACGTTTTATGTTTCTAACATTTCAAACTAAATGGTGGGTAATAGTAGCATCTTGACCCAGTACAACGGTTTGCTCTCAGACTGCAGGCTTACTTTTTCAAATCAGTTCAGTTTTATTTATATAGTGCCAAATCACAACAACAGCCACATCAAGGCCCTTTATTGTAAGGTCTAAGCCTCTGCAATAATACAGACAAAACCCCAACGACAACCACCTTTGAACAAGCACTTAGTTGTTGCTAAGTGCTCAAACTTTCTTTTAATGAGAAGAAACCCGCAATAGAACCAGGCTCAGGCACAGCTAGTGATCTGCCGTGACCACTTGGGGTTTATGGGACAGGCCTCTCATCTGTGGAAGCAGCTCCCACTTTGGATTCAGGAGAGGGATAACCTCTCTACTTTAGGTTCTTAAGATTAGGCTTAAAATGTTCCTTTTGATAAAGTATATAGCTGGAACATGTAACCCTGAACTCTCCTTTAGTTACTCTAAAGTAGGCCTCATCTGCTGGGGGCTTCCATTCATGCACTGAGCACCCTCCTTGTTACTTGTTACTGTTGTACTGGGTCATTTAGGCTCACTCATGCGATAGGTTGATAGGTGTGCTAGCCAATAACTGCTAATAGCTGTCTGCTAGGCCTCAATTTTGTGAGCAGAGTGATGCTATTTTGTCTTATGTTACTAATTACAATGTTTCTTTGTTCTACTGGTTTATGCTAATTTATGAACCAGCATGGTAATATAGTTTACCCATGTACAGTCAGTTGTGATCACTTAAAATACATCCATATTTTCAAACTGAAAATATATAGTATACAGACTTGGTGGCAATGTGCCATAACATAATATGTTACTATGTCAAAAATGACACTTTTTGTTAACACAGTAATAGAATGTGATATATTATAATGCAGATTACTCTACTAAATTCAGAAATAGGAAGTTACAATAAGAATGATATGATTAGGTTTTTCAATTATCTGCACAATCAATAGATAGTAAGGGGGAAAAAACATCAAACGTGTATTTTTCCTCCTGCGTTTATGTGCAGGGAGACAGTCTAACGTTTGAGGAGTGGTGATATTGATATTACTTTTATCTTTATTGCACAAAAGAACAAGAGTTTCCACGTAAAGTGCACATTGCATCTAGAACAGAAACAGCCACCAGCATTACACTGGCTCTTTGCAAGGATCCGCACACACAGCGTGCTAACACAAAGCTAACAAAGAACCCAGAGTGAGTGTATGTCAATGCCAGCCCAGGAGCCAGAGCCCGATCTTCAAAGAGTAAAAAATCAATGCAGTCATCAACAGAGTTGTCTCACTGTAGCTTCTATTTCTGCACGTTCCTGCAGTTTAATAACAGACGCAGTTGCTATGAAGCATCTTTGTGTTGTTGTTGTTTTTTTTTTAAATACCGGACATACGCATGTCCTTAGTAGGACAGAGATTTGTGTCAGTCAGCTATGTGACAGTGTATTTCTGGTAGTACAGTGGGTGACATCACAGTGGTTACATTCATATATAGTCTATGTTAAAAATACCACATGAAACATTTCTGTTATGCTTTCTCTTACTTTTCTTCACGTTGAGCCATATGGTGTTAATTAAAAACAAAACACCTCTACCATGATTAAATAGATCTCCTTATGCTGTTGTGTTTGTATGATATTGTATAACTACACAAGCTGTACAAAATAAAGCACTAAATCTCTCAGTTTTTATCCACATGAACACTGAAAAAGTCACACAAAAGACAAATCTAAACATTATACAATGTGACCAAAGATACATTTATTGTAAAGTCTGTGAAGGCTCACAAGTTTGTTCTTGTTCATAAACATTACGGTGACAAAATCAAGAGGTGAGACCTGGCCACCAAACATGCATAATACATTCAGACCTTCAAAGCATGCTAATGTTAACTAGCCAATGCTAATGGTGAACATTTACATATGTTGCAGGTTGCAAAGCACCTTCATTAGTAGAATAACATTAATTGAGTGATGAGTAAATTATTCAGTAGTACTCATGTGATTGGTCACATGTACAGGCAGAGCCTGCCATAATGTAAACTGGATGTGCATTTTCTTCAGTAAATCTGCACAACTTGCTCTTTGAAATAAACTTTTTCAAATCTGCTTTGATTACCTCCTTTGTAGATCGTCTCATAGACCTAAATGAACCCTACAGGGGGCACTGAGCATGTGATCTTTCAGTCATTCTGCGTGACCAATCAAAAACAGTCTTGTCTCTGATAAGTAGAGAACGTAAAGACCTTCTCTCAATGATCCACAGCAATTTGAACAAAATGACACCCCCACTGTTATCCTTCTATGTGGCATATCTACTCTCAGGATCAATAGGTAAGTTGCATCTTAAATAATATTGTTGACAGCTATACAGTCTCATAAATTCCAATACTTATCCAGTTATTATATTAAGTTCATTGTGTTTTTTCTTTTATTTTCAGTTCATTTGGCAGCTCTGAAGCTATCACCATCATTAAATATCACATTTGTTAAAGCTGGTCAGGATTTAACTTTAAATTGTTCATTCAATCAAACTACTGTTGCAGTGATGTTTTACTGGTATAAGCAACCTCTGGGACAGAAACCACAGCTGGTGTCGAAATTCTATAAGCATGAAAAAGATGGCATGTTCACTGATGAATTTAAGAATGAGTCTCGCTTTGAACTGGAAACTGTGAACTATAAAAACAACTTGAAGATCTCAAAAGCACAAATGTCAGACTCTGCTACTTACTACTGCATAAGTGGCTATTCATATGTGTATGAATTTTTGGAGGGGATTATCATCCAAGTGAAGGATTCAGATTTGGTTTTCCAAGCTTCCGTTCATCAATCAACACCTGAGACCATCCAGTCTGGAGGCTCTGTGATGCTGAACTGTACAGTGCACGCTGGAACCTGTGAAAAACACAGTGTTTACTGGTTCAAAAACTCTGAAGAATCTCACCCTGGACTCATCTACACCCACGGAGGCAGAAATGATCAATGTGAGAGGAATCGCAGCTCACAGACCCAAACCTGTGTGTACAACCTGAAAATGGAGAGTCTCAATCGGTCTCATGCTGGGACCTACTACTGTGCCGTGGCTTCATGTGGACACATACTGTTTGGAAATGGGGCCAAGCTGAACATTGAGGGTAGCTACTGCTCCTGTCTCTTTTGTTAAACAGTAACAATAGTTTCTAATCAAATACGATGTATGTGGTGTCTTTTAATGTCTGGTTCTCTACAGAAGAGGGGGAATCTTTTATCTATGTGTACGCCTTGAGCGGAGCTTTGGCGTTCAACTCAAGTCTGTTGGTTTTCCTGGCTTATGCAGCCTATACCTTGTACAAGAGAAAAAACTGCAAATGCACAGGTAGGTTAACTGACTTCTTTACATTTTACTGAATGCAATAACAAGGCAGAAAGACATTAATAAGTTGCTGTTAGTCATAATGCTCATTGTTACGTTAACTGAAGACATCAACTGGTGTTTCTTCAGCACACTTGGTTGAAATTTTTGGTCGACTCGCTTAAAGTCCAGATAATGTGTACAACAAGTACATTTCTTTCTTTCATTTTTCTTTTTAACAAAGTTATTTCATAAATATTTATACTACATAAATGCAATTTGTACTTTTTCTTACTGTCAATTGCTAAGATGTAAAAAAAATTCTTAAATGTAATTATTTATTTATTTTGTTTACTGGAATGAAATGAATTAGCTCAGGACATACCTAATTTATTATTAAGTCATAGGTGGTTTACTGAAACAATCTTAGTACTTCAGTTGTTCAGTATATTAAAGTGTCCTCTGCAATTCTGTGTTGACTACATATGGAGAGTAATCATGGAGAGTCATTTTGTCTTGACTGAGTTAAAAGAATGATCGTTTTTTTCTTTCTTTTTTATAAACAGACCCTCGCGCGGAGTCTTCAGGGACCTCGGATCCAAATGGAGACGTAAGTTTTTCTGTAATTTTCTAATTTTTAAAAAATTATCAGTGAATAAATTAACTGTTTTTCGAGACCCTACAATGGAAGGAAAAAAAAAAAACACAGAATGAAGAGCACCTTAACAATTCGATGCATTGCAGTATTACATATTCTTGTGAAGGTCACAATGTTCAGTTTTCACTTGTAGTGGTTCTGTTGTTTTGAAATTAATTTTATTATAAGTGGGGTTTTCTTTTAATGTGCCATCCAGTGGTTATGCTTGCTGGTTTAAGGGCAACATTTTTCTTTCTTTTTTTCTACACAGGCATCCCAAGATGCAGACCATCTCCATTACGCTGCTTTGAAGGTAAACAAGGCCACCAGATCAAGAAGGCAGCAAGAGGACACCCTTAGCCAGTGTGTTTATTCTAGTGTGAAGCAATAAAGCTGGACATGTTTTCTTTGTTGTCTCTGTGAGAAAAATGACACATTTTTTGCTTTTTTGTTTGTGTGGTTTTCTCCTCCGTAAACTAAATGTAAATCTGCGCCTTACAAAATAAACAGACATGTTTGCTTAACTGCAGCTGAGCCAGGTTCTTTTGTCAAATGTGTGATATTTCCATTGTCGCTGTACTTACATTGCATTCACGATGTACAGCGAGCGACATACAACTGTACAACAGTTGTGTGGTTTCACAATGCACCTTTGTGTTGCAGAGCTTAAGATCTGAACAGCCCTCTTCTTTTAACAAAGCCTGCACATAATTAGCGCTTCACCCTCTAGTTCAACACACATTATTTGATTCTAGATTGATTTTTGAATGAAACAGTCGCATTAACACAATCTGAGTCAGGAGGAAACAACCGGCATGGCACTGCAGATGTGACTCATACAACACAGTCTTCTTCCAGGTGTGGTAGGTTGCTCACACAAAGCGGCAACCATTTCACAACAACAAATCCCGCCACCATTGCAAAGTCTAAAATGATTATGTGACATACACAAATCTTCCAGATTATCTGCCCTAAATGTATCGATGGCATCTGAAAGCCTTTGCAGGTTGTTTACTCTAAATGTGTCGTCTGCGCACAGCAGAGCTGAGGGAGTCTTTTTTTAGTGTCTGTGTGGTTGATAGGCAAAAAACATAGCTCTCAGTATACTTCAGCCATGCACTCCTGTAGGACCCTTTGCACTCTTTGTGGTCTCAAACAGGAAGTCGCTGCATTGTTTTTGTACATTGCAGCCACACAGTTTAACTCGCCTTACCAATTACTCTTTTAGGTAGTTAAAAAAATACAACAATCTGGTAATTACAATAGTTTGTTTGCAATTTCCCTGAAGAGCAGGTGTCCTGTACTAATAAAATAGCTAATATTATTAATAGTCATTTTAATAGCTAACATTTGTGCATACTGCACACTCTGTGCATGTATAATATAAGTAAACATTACCACCAATCGCTAATAGCAGCTATTTAGAGATTAGCCTGAGCTTCTTTTAATGACTCCCAGCAAATCTATTTGTGCTCCGCCCCATATATCAGCTCTTAAATATGAGTCCTTCATATATGAAGCAGTGAATAGCCCTGTAAAATTTGCATGATGTAAAAAATATATATTTTATATATTTTCTAATGTTATCTTGACATAATGGTTTTAATATTACCATATTCTTCCGGGACTCATTGGTTATCTCTTCAGGTTTTCTGTCTGTGTTAGTGCTGGCACTTGTGCAGAGTATTAAAAGAAAGTGTTGCCCACAATTAGCTAACATAGACACACCCAGCTGTTGCTAATACATTTAATATAAAATCAGATTTTCCTTTATGGACCAAGACTTTTTTTTGTTACTGAAGAACATAATGCACTGGTAATACAGACGTGCAATACATGAAAATAGTTAACGTACCATTTAATGTTACAGTTTGTCATTTTCTGATATGTTGTGATCAAAAACAGCAATTTACAGAACATCAAGTAATGAAAGTAACAATAGTTAAAGCAATGTCATAGTGTACCTGATTACATTTAAGTTGAAATTAAAGGGACAGAAATCGGTGTGGAACATCACAAGTCTTAATGCTCCTAGGCGTTACTTCTCGTTAGCCAATCAAATGCAGTCCACTCAGTGGAATAAAGGGCTTGGTGAGAGTCAGTACATTCAACAGGGTACGATGTGGACACGATGATGCCTCTAAAGTTTGCTTTGTGTCTGACTTGCCTGGCACTTGGTAGTGTAGGTAAGTTGTCTCTAATAAATACAGCTGTATAGAACACATATATATACTGATATACATAATCTTTTAAAACCAGTGTTTTTTTTCCTCTTCAGCTCAGAAGACTAACCTGAAATCCTCAGTTTATGTGCGTCAACAAAGTGGTTTTGTGTCGCCTAGCGTTGGTGACAAAGTGACTTTGCAATGTTTCTACGAAGAAGACGCAGTGATGTCTTACTGGTATAAACAATCTCTGGGACAGAATCCAAAGCTTGTTTCTAAATTTTATAAACATGAAAAAAGTGGCACGTTTTACAGTGAGTTTGAAAACAATTCTCGTTTCTCACTAGACACTGGAAATGGTAACAATCACTTGATCATTTCAGATATACAGATTTCGGACTCAGCTACTTATTACTGCATTGGTATCTATGTATATGACTTTGAATTTTCTGAAGGTGTTACTGTCAGTGTAGAGGGTTCAGGGATAAACATCCAAACTTTGCTCCATCAGTCTGAGCCGATGGTTCCATCTGAAACTATTCAGCCTGGAGGCTCTGCTCTGAACTGTATTATACACAAACATACCTATGATGGAGGCCACAGAGTTTACTGGTTCCAGGACTCCACCGAATCCCATCCTGGACTCATTTATGCCAACGGAGTCAGGAGTGATGAGTATGAGAAGAGGCCTAAGATACAAACACACACCTGCTTCTACAACTTACCCATGAAAAGTCCTAATCTGTCTGATGCTTCGAGCTACTGTGCTGTTGCCTCATGTGGACACATACTGTTTGGAGACCGGGAAGAGCTCCACTTAGAGCGTAAGTAGCAATATAAAATAAGTTTCATATTTGCATGACTGTGACTGTTTTACACACAAAGCATGTTCAAAAATGTTTGTTTCACTCATCTGAACTTGCAGATGAGCACTCTGTTGTCTTGGTGTATTTCCTGAGTGGAGCGTTGATAATTACCATTATCCTGCTGCTTATACTGTCATACGCAGCACTGACGATTAATATCAAAATGAAACGCCAAAGTTCAGGTAGGCTGTGGTTATTTTTCACTCATGTTTAGGTAGCATATACAGTCATAAAGACTTAAAAAGCATCTTTGTCTCCAATCTTCATAACCAGACTCTCAAGCAAGATCTGCAAATGCCTCAACTCCAAATACAGAAGTGAGTACTAATCTGCCAGTCTAACTGTATGTAGACAGACAGAAGTGGGTTACGCCAGTTTTCTAGTTTGTGATGTTGCAATCTTTGCATTTCTACTATCTTAAGCAACAGAAAATTATGTTTGGACCTATGTTTACTAAAAACTATCTTTAAAAACAAATAAGAGGAAAAATTGCCACATACAGTTATGGCTTCCATCAACATAATGACCAACCATTGGAAGTTATCAAGTTTGAAGATATCAGTACTGTATATGGACAAAAGTACTGGGCCATCTAAACATTAGAACCAGAAGAGCTGCTCGGCTATAACAAAACATGCCACGGTGCAGTTTTTGTGTTTATGTAAATACCAGAGGAGGTTTGAAACTCTGCAGTTATTAAGCCAGCAGAGAGTTGGCAATTTTGACACATTTCTGTGGTACAAGGAGACGTGAGACACAATATAAATGTATACATATTGCAAATGAAGTCTGGTACGAACTGTGAGATTCCCACCATCAACTGCACCTGCCTGCTACTGAATGTAAAGCAGCACATTTGATGATGCATTTATTCTTCCAGGTGTGTAGATGTCCTTAGCAATGTGAAATTATGTTGTAGTGGCAATAAAGATTAATAAAGTACTAATTTTAAATTGTTATGTTATTATCAGGGCAACCAAGATTCAGACAACCTCCATTATGCTGCTTTGAGGGACCACAAGGTCAACCGATCCAAGAGACAAAGAGACAACACAAACACCGAATGTGTGTACTCCAGTGTCAAACAGTAAACCTGGAATTTCATTTGTAGCCATGTTGTCCTGTAAGAAGTACTGTGTCTTTAAAGCATTTGTTTTTGTTTGTTTTTTAGATTTGTTGATTGTTGAAGCACTGTTGTAATATATTGTGTATGGTAAGAAGAGAACTACAAGCCAGAGATAAAGAAAGGTAAAAGATTGCTACATAAAAGCCAGTAGAACTGTGAGGAACATAAGCTAGTGAGCTCATATTACAAATATTACAAACTCAGTAATGCAAAAGGATCATAAACAGAACGTCTCTGCAAACTCTAAATGTGGCCTTCAGAGATGAGACTGCACGCACAGAAACAGCAGGCCTGTGCCTTCTCATAGCAGTGTTGTGGTAAGCAGGCACTTAACGTCTAAATGTGCAGTTACACTGAACACGACAGGAAACAATTTATCAGTGAAAATCTTCTGATAATTTAAGACATGTCATATATCTTTCACAACTGCATTTGCAGAATGTTGTTCCATTTGGTGTTGTTTGCACACCTGAAACCAGGGAAGTGAGACTTCTGTGTGGTCAACAGTCAAATGACTTTCAAAGTGCTTTGAAGAACACCTAGCTCACTTTGTCTTTCTGGTTTCAGACAGGAAGTGTCTGCAGTGTGTTTATGGACTGCAGCCATGCAGTATTAATGATGCTCAAGTTTCTTCAGTAGACTACATCAAAATACTAAAATAAATCAAAATGTAATCAATCACATTGTCTTTGTTTTATTCATTTTATTCATATAGGATGCACTCTATAACTATGTTGCTTCTTCCCCACACAAAACCAGTGAAGCCCAAGCTCTTGTGGCCTTTCAGTCTATAAGGTTCACACACATTTTAACTAACACAATTCTATGACAGACATGAAAAATAAAATAAATGTAAATAAAAATAAATGTAATTTGGTGTAATATAAACATTTCCTTATGGCTAAACCATGAACCAAATATCAAAAACTTTGTTCCCACTGCTTTTTTTTAGATCCTCCTTTTTTTTTTTTTTGGCTTTTAGCCTTAACTAGAGGACAGTGAATACAGATGCAGGAAGTTTTTGACCTCCTTAACCAGGAAAACTGTATTGAGATCCAGTATGATCCCAATTAACATAAATGACTGAGGCTGAGTGAGTGAGAGTTCAATAAAAGTGACAGTAGCTGTAGGAGGCAGCTGTGTCAGAGACAACAAGAGTCAACTACCAACCACTACACCTACCAATGTGATGATGCCTCAATTAAATCGTCTTTGTAAAATGTTGTAACATCACCTTTCTAGTTGTACCTCCATTGCTAGACTCTGGTAGAAAACAGCTATGAAGATGCAGGTCGTTACACGTGTCACAAGGGTGGAAAAGTCAGTGATGGGGACGAAAGCTGATCTGTTTGCAGCTGCAATACTTCCTTCTCTCCTATACTCAAAATTATATTTTTTATCGCGCAATGTTCAGTCTGTGAGTCTTTTCAAGGCATGTACGCTTGATATTATTAAATTTACATCTAGTCAACATGCAAGCTTCAACTCATGGCTCTCAGTGTGGGATAGCGTCGCTTTCATGACATTGCTGTTAATGTTTAAACAGCAAGTTTCAGGTCTGGGCAATTGGATTTTCACTGATTTTCCATTAATTTTATGGATTTTTCATGTTATTTAAGTTTGTTTTTTTATCACCAAACGCACCACTTTGATTCAGATTAATATATCTCAACGATTGCAGCAAGTCCATTTATGGCCCCCATTGGGTGGACATTGATGGTTGTATTGTGAGTAAGTCACATGATGCCCTCATGTGGGGGTGGCTGTAGCTCAGGCGATAGAGCAGTTCCTCTACTGATCGGAAGGTCGGTGGTTCTATTCCTGGCTAGTCTGCATGCCAAATGGCCTTGGGCAAGATACTAACACCCAATGGCCACTCATATTATTGCAACCGAAAAGACAATGAAAAGATGTATATAAACTACTAACAGAACAGAAGCCTAGAAAATCGAATTTTGATAATGCAGCATTTCTCTCTAAGCATGCTAGACAATTAGAAATGTGAAGGTGGGACCAGCAAGGGAAACACTGAAACATATCCAAATGTATGAATGACAGGAAGTTAAAAATAAGGAATATGATCTTTTCATAGAGCATTTAAAAAGGATATGGCCCACTGAAGTAAGAAAACTTGCATCACCACATATGGCATACACACAGTCACTACAATAACTAATGTCTGTGGCATCTTTCAATCAGATCTTGGTTCATTTCACTGTTCTTAAGACAATAAGTAGCGCTAAATTACTTTTCACACTAACCGGCAACATCCTAACCTTGGCCAAGTTTGCTCTCACTCACGTTGTTGATTTTTGGGGTTTTAATGGTTAAAATAATGTAATACTATAACTCTGGTGTTGTTTTCCACATCTCTTGCTGCGAGAACCAAAATTCATAATGAAGGGGGCGTTAAACTTTTGTACCCTGTTTCAAAAGTAGTTCAGTGTCACTTTTGCTTAGCCAATCAAACGGAGCCCTGTCTCTAAGACTAGAGGACGTATGGAGGTTTTCTACATTGGTCAAGACCTTTTGATCACAATGACATCTCTGAATTTTGCTTTGATTTGCCTGTTCTTCTGGAAAATTGGTAAGTTGGGAATACATTAAATTCTTAAAAATATAAATTAAATCTCACAATTTTATTTTAATGATTCTTATAGAGTGATTAGACTTTTATTGTGATGTTGTGATGTTCTCTTTACAGACCGGGTAACTAATATTCAGCTCACCTCAAATGTTCGTCAAGAGAGCGGCTTTATATCAGCTAATGTTGGGGACAATGTAACTTTGCGATGTATCTACGAAGGTGATGTTGCAGCTATGTTTTACTGGTACAAACAAACCCTGGGACAAAAGCCAAAGCTCATCTCTAGCTTCTACAAACATGACAAAGATGGCACTTTTAGCGAGGATTTCAAGAACAATCCAAGATTTTCTTTGGACAGTAAAAATGGAAAGAACCACTTGACAATCTCGAATTTACAAATGTCTGACTCAGCAACGTATTACTGCATAAGCTGCTATGCGTACAAGTTTGAATTTGCAGACGGCGCCACTATCCATGTGAAGGGTTCAGGTTTGAACCTTCAAACTTCAGTCCATCAGCTGTCTTCTGCAACCGTCCAGCTAGGAGCCTCTTTGACTCTGAACTGTACAGTCCACACTGGGACCTGTGATGAAGAACACAGTGTTTACTGGTTCAAAAGCTCAGAAAAATCCCATCCAGGACTCATTTACACCCATGAGGGCAGGAACAATCGCTGCGAGAGTAAAACTAACACACAAACGGACACGTGTGTCTACAATTTGCCAATAAAGAGCTTGAATTTGTCTGATAATGGGATGTACTACTGTGCTGTTGCCTCTTGTGGACACATACTGTTTGGCAACGGGACCAAGCTGGGCTTGGAGGGTAAGTGGCATTCTAGCAGCCTGTCTCACATTTGCTAAACAGTCTTTACTCATTCAGCTTTTAATGGAAACATATTAACAACACTGATGTTGATGGATGTTTGGTTCTCTACAGATGAGGTGACCTTTCCTGACTTTCTTGTGCATGTTTTAAGTGGAGCCTTGGCATTCACCACCACTTTGAGTCTTTTAATGGGTTTTCTAG